ATCTTGATAGGTTGGACATAACCGAGGCAATATAAGATTAAAAATAATAAAGATAATCGCTAATTGATTGTATTAGATTTGATAACTAACCGATGGAGTAGATTGATTATTGATAAAAGGATAATTTACCAATAAAACAACGAATAATATCTATCGATTTGAGCAAATCTGTCTTAATAAAATATGACCTGATAAATTGGACATAACCGAGATAGTATAAAGTCAATATTGAACCTGATAGATTTAAACAAGCCAATAGATACTGAAGAAGGTGATTGATATATTGATTCTAACTAAGACAGCAAATCCATTGAAGAAAGAACCGATATATCTGATAGGCGACGTGTGCACAGACCAAATTAGTATATTGGACTTAAGAAAGTATTAGCCGGACCGATACAATCATACAAGCAAAATAGATGAAACTTACTTTTTTGCCAAAGATCGAAACAGATGCAGCCCAAACACGAAAATAGGGTGGCGATGCACCGAAACTTGTATATTTACAAAACCCAAGGCAAACATATTTATACCCTCAGATTAGAAAAGAGTCCAACTCAAACACGACTCGATCGGCTAAAAGGAAACTGAGTGCAATTTACATACGACACAATTGGTTTAGAATTCTATCTGTAGAAGGAAATTAAAACATTCCTTAATACAGAAGTTGATATAAAATCTGCGAAACTATATCTGATACGCTTCCCAACCGAATCCACTACAATCATGGCGTCAATTTCGCCTTTGACTTGATCTTGACTAACGACAATTACCAATTCTACCGTCAACAAGTAGTAGGAGCAATTGGCATATTCGGCTAACTGCAAATGCCATGCATTGCGGCGATTATAACAACACAGTGCATCCTACATTGATTTCCCCTAATATCAAATGATAGAACTTACGAGCGAAGCAAGATAGGAAAATAGTGTAGCTCTAGGCTCCAAGCCATCCATCTACTTCTTGATAATATTAAACTTGTCTACATTAAAAGTTTGTTGCTATATAGTGCCCATCAACGCAAACGGTAGTTAGAAATGAGAAATGTATGATTGTAACTTCTATGCATATGCAAGTCCAAATGCGTATGATATGCATGCATTTGTCCTTTCCAAGAACAACTGCATACTCATGCCTTCACAGATATCTGCTGAACATTAGTTGCTTGTAATTTTACCTTATCTGTTGCTCACTTGCAATTGATTTTACTCTGTAACTTGGAAGTATATTACTTCCTCCGTTTCATAATATAAGTCATTTTAGCATTATCCACATTCATATAGATGTTAATGAATCTAGACATATGCTATATCTAGATTCATTAACATCGCTATGTCTAGATTCATTAACATCTATATGAATGTGGACAATACTAGAATGACTTACATTGTGAAACGGAGGAAGTAATATCTACTCCCTCCATTTAAGGTTATAAGATGTTTTAACTTTGATCAAAGTCAAACTATTTCAAGTTTGACTAAGTTTATAGACAAATATAGTAATATTTATAATACTAAATTAGTTTCATCAAATCAATAATTGAATATATTTTCATAATAAATTTGTTTTGGGTTGAAAATGTTACTACTTTTTTCTATAAACTTAGTCAAACTTAAAGCAGTTTGACTTTGACCAAAGTCAAAACGTCTTATAACCTGAAACGGAGGACGTAGCAAACAACTTAGCTTATCTCTTAACAGCACTGCAGCGGCAAAACAACTTTCAAAATTTTCAGCAATTCAGAACAGAACCTAAACCAGCAAATAACCAGACCAATCATCAGTGCAGTACTTCATGCCCACGTTAAATCTCCTGCGCACGTAAAACGGAGCGGTTTATTAGCACGTTATTAATTAAGTATTAACTAATTGTTTTTAAAAATTGGATTAATATGATTTTTTAAAGCAACTTTCGTATAGAATATTTTTTTCAAAGAACGCACTGTTTAACCGTCTGAAAAAGGAGAGAGGTGAATTGGGAAAGTTAGGGAAAGAACTCAGCCTTAATAGCAGCATCTCACATGAAGGAAATATTACGCACCAAAGTACATTGACTCACAAACACACCGCACACGCCTGCAATCCGTAACACTAGTCTTCCACTTCCACCGGGTGCTGGACAACACGATCTGAAGAAGTGATTCCAACGAGAAGCAAGAGCGTACCCAGATGGATAATTGGATACCCGGTCAATGCCATTTCTGCGATTTCATCTCAATTAAACAATTCCCACATTGTTTTCTTTGGTGAGGCCTATTCCCACTAGTGAGAACCCATCTCGGTTTGCAATCCCTTTAGTCCTGGGTTGCAAATCGGGATGTCTAATTCGGGACTGAAGATACCCATCTTTATAACTGGGACTAAAGATCTATTTTTAGTACCAGCCAGGACTAAAGGTATTTTTTAATTGTTTTTTGTTGCTTGCATATTGCCCAAATCCGCACATCAAATTGACATCACAGATAAAATGCGGAATGCCTGCCTCCTCCCGCACGCCACCAACAACCACCGCCCGCCGCCCACTGCTGACGCCACCGACGGAGAAGGGGGGGGAGGAGAGGAGAGGGGAGGGTGCTGCCGCCGCTTGCCACCCGCTGCCGCCTGCCGCTGCCCACTGCCGACGCCGCCGACGATGGAGAGGGGAAGGGGAGGAAAGCGAGGAGAGGGGAGGGGAGGGGGGAGGAGTGGAAGAGCCGTGAAGTGGATAAGTGGAGGAGGCGTGCGGCTGCGTGAGGAAATAAGGACGACGAGGAAATAGTTAAAAAATAAGTTGAGGAGATAAGGACGGGTGGGGAGGCGTGCGGCTCAGTGCGCTGTTCCGGATTTTTTCAACTTTTGACCCAGTTGGTATAAACAATAGGGACTAAATATTGACACCAACCGGGACTAAAGATAGTGGGGGTGTGACATTCGCCTAACGACTTTTTAAACTGAGACTTAAAATGTACCAACTGGGACTAAAGATTATAAAGTGTTATTAGGTTTTGAACTGGGGCTACAGATCTTATTTATTCCCGGTTCCTATTCAAACCGGGACAAATGTGATTTTTGCCATCCGGATAAAGATCTGTTCTCCAGTACTGTTCACACTCAAAAATTTCAAAATGCTGAAAACTCAATGTACATATGCAAAATTTGCTCAAATACTCCACTAAAACTAGCATTTTAGTTTAAAAATTACAAAAATACAACACAAATAGTCTAATGGGTCATGCCTATAGAGTGAGTCTGGCTCGAATTTAAGTAGGGAGGTCATTTTGGGTCAAAATTAAGGGTGATCCAGGACCTGTATCAGGGGCGGAGCTTGATTAGGGGGTGCCCAGGAACCCGGTCAAGAAAATTTTTTAGCTATACCTCATCTATTTTCACCATGTACGCACCCCCCTCAATACAAACTTAGGCATCCGCATCAGCTTAAAGTCGATTTAAAGTAGAGTAAATTAAGCAAGTGACACCATCCTCCATTTCGCTCTAGCTCCGCCCCCGTATCACTCCTGAACCCCCCATGCTATCTCTGTTCATCCCTACACGACGCCAGTGCACCACCAGCATCCCACCCCACACACGTCCTCACGCCGTTGGACTTCTTTAACCGATGTCGAGGGCTAGCGTGACATCGAGCCTGTGCTCCTCGCTTCCACCCACGGTCATGGATCGAGCTCAAGGGCAAGGAGGCAGAGCGAGGAGAGCGAGCTCGTCTTGGTGCTTCGACAACGACCATCCTGGCGACATGCTGGTTGGGGACGACCACTGGATGCCCTGCTCATGTCTCTTGATCTCTGTTTGTGCAGCACGAAGGGGCGTCGAAGGAGGCCTGACGGACAAGGCCGTCGGCGATGCAGAGGTTGGAGGAATTGTTCTCCGCTTCTTCTTGTGATTCAAACCATGGGGCTAAGGGGAATTTCATCCATTGAAGTGGTAAAAGAGGCAAAATCAAGCCAATGAATTAAAAAAGGGACGGGTTCGTTTGAAAGATCGTTCAGCTTTAGCATTTTTGCTGCGCGAAACAAAAAAAAATACCAGTATTAACTATTATAAACTTTTTTATAAGAAAAAAAACTATATAAAAAATGTTTTATAAAAACATATTATTTACCAGTTTGAAAACATAGTAACAATAAACAAGGAAAGGAAGAAGGGCAACTGTTTATTACTACTTCCGTCCCAAAATATAAGAATTTTTAAAATTGGACATAATTATTAAGAAAATAGGTAGAATTAAATGGAGGAGAGATTGTGTTTAGTTAAGAAGTGAAGGTAGACGAGAAAAGTGAATGATAGAGTTGTGATTAGTTTGGAAGAGGATGTTAGGAAGAAGTCGTTATATTTTTAGACAAGTTCTGAGTGATAGAAGTTATTATATTTTATGATGAATGAAGTATGAGATGTAGTAGAGACATTGCAGGTTTACGTTTCAGTGGAAGCTAGCCCCTGTTGGCAAAATACTTCGACTTGTTTGACAACTCGAGCGAAGAGGATTGGAAGTTTACATGAGGAGATTGATGGTGAGATTAAGATGTGAATTTGATTTTTAATCCCAATATCTTGTTTAGTAGATATGGTGAAAATTGATAGGGAGTTTAATTTGAGATTATGTCATTAATGAAAAATGGATGCTTGGGATTTATTTAGGCAGAGTAAAGGATGAATTCCCTCTTAATTACCACCTCTATTCAGGTATTGAAAAGGAGGGAGTCTACAGAGTGGCGGATCTAGGAACTTTTATGAGTCTGGACAAGCCTAACGATAGAGAAGGACAATTAACTCCATACAACCACGTGCATGATTTAGGATAGATCAAGTTCTAATTTATTTTTTTTTGAAGAGAATCGACTTCTAATTTATGAAGAAGAGAAGCGATGCGCAAAATTATATCGATGAAATGTAACTCGTTAATTGTTAATGTTGAATAACTAGACAGTTATATATATAGTTAGTCATTTTGCTACTTTATGTGCTGATTAACTGATCTGACATTCATTAGAACTAGTTAATTAAACACGTAATTTGCTACGGGTAGTATTTTACTCAATTGTATGCGACAGGCTAACCGAGACTGGCTCTGCCGCTGGAGAAAATTGATGGTGAGATTAAGAAGAGAATTTAATTTTTAATTCTAATATCTTGTCTACTAGAGGTGGTGAAAATTGAATGGGAGTTTAATTTGAGATTAGATTATTAATGAAAAAATATTATTGAGATTTATTTGGACAAAATAAAGGATGAATTATCTCCTAATTACCACCCCTTCTCAATTCTCCATCCTCATTCCCCGCGGCAGCGGCAGGCTCAATGCCTTCTCGCATCGATTCTTGATCCCAAGGAGATGGTCAAGGGGAGAAGCGGCGCTTCTCGATTCGACGGCGACGACCTTGGAGGAGGGAGGAACGGCGGCGCTTCTTGATCCAACGGCGACAAGGCATGGGGGGAGCAGGCGCAGGAGGGTTACCTCTTGTCGATCTTGGCCTGACGCTGACGGCGGCCATGGGTAGAGCCGTAGAGGTGGCCTCCTGCCCGCCGGACGCTGTGCTCCTTCTCCCCCGCATCGAACAGTGAACTGTGAGGTGTCCTTGTTGCCTGGAATACTTTGGCTATTTCTTATTCCCTTGGTTCCAACCAAGAATTTGATTCACTTTTTTTTTTTTGTGCTGCTCTCGGTTCGATTTGCAGGCACAAATGTGAGCATCAGACTGGATGGCCAACATTTAGGGTGACTCCACTCCAGAGCGCTGCTTGATCCATCTTCTGCTTTCATTGTTACTATTTCTTTGCTTCCAAACCACATATGCATTCAGGGTGACTGACCGAATCCAATGCCATTGATTTCTTTTGTCCTCTGTCCACCAATCTTCGAAATTTTGTCTGGCTAGCAGGGAAAGCGAGCAGGCAGGTTCAGTGGTCAGTGCAGAGAGAGCAACCCTGCAGCTATTGATTCAGTGCAGAGAGAACCCAGCACCAGTTCGCGAAAAAAAGAACCCAGCACCAAAGCTGCAATGATTCAGCAGCTGCAGCTGTTGATTCAATGCAGAGAGAATCCATCACCACATCTGATCGCAGAAGATGCAGATGCGGTTCTGCAGACGATCAGCCGCCAGCAAAACAAACGCCAGCGAAGGACCAGCCACATCAAGTTCAACGATCTCCAAATTGACATGCAACACAACAAAAGCTGATTAGACCATGGGAGAGGTGCAAACTGGTGTGCAACAACAAAACCTTATTCGACCATTGAACAGGTGCTCGTGTGCGGAGCGTGCGCTGAATTCTCCTGAAGTGAAGGCTACCAGCGCCGTATTGGCACATCAGGGATATCAACTTCTACAACAAAAACTGCTCATTAGTTCCCAGATGCAGGGGTATTCCAAAATGGCCTCTTAATTTGATCCATCTTATGTCCAGTGGTGCCTCAGCTACCATTCTTTGGGAATGGATCTTGTTAGGCACCAAAAACTCCAATGGGGAGGCACCACTTTTTGTAAGCAAAATGTTAATATATTGTCCAACTAGTAATAACTATAATGATAACCCCATGATACCATGCTATGGACAACTTCATTTCAAAAGGTAAGAGTATGGAATAAAGCTGAGTGGTGAGTTAAGTATATGGACTGAATGGGACAGCTATTAGTGGCCCCTTTTCTTTTTTATTTTAATTTTCTTTTTTGTCCTTTTGGCACAACAATGGAACATCCTGGGTACCTTTTAGTAATTTCCCAGAAGGTTAGCTGAGCACTTGTGCGTGGATGCAGCGTATGGCCCCAAAAGTGAGTTGAGCCCCTTCTTCTACATAAGGAAAGAACTAACTGAAATTTGGGGCTGTACTCTTCTAAATTTCAGTTAGCGCTCTTCGTTTAATTTTTGGGAGACGAAATTTGTACTCTATCTGGAACTAGCGCATCTGCACTCTCTTTCCTGTGATCCTATCTAATCTCTATTCATATTGATCTAACATTTTTTTGAACAAACATGTGATTGCTTTGCTCATAAAAGACATCAAGAAGAGCAAGATCAAGAAGAGGAGCTAGCTAGGTAGTCTGATCATTGGGTAGAAAGATTTGTGAAACAAATTAAGGACCCAGGTACGTGATCCAATTATTTCCCTTCTTTACTCCAGCTTGGTATGTTTGGAGTATCAGATATACTACAATTGTCAGCAGAAACTGTTATTTTCCAATTGTAGACAAAGTCTGCATGTTGCAATTTCTTGTGTTCTTGGTCGATTTTATACTGTACTAGTAAGCTTAGAACAAAATTTCAAACTGTGCTTGCTGTCTTACATGTTTCTTTCACTACGACTAGTCGAACTTCCAGAGAAATTATGTGCCTATTTGAGATATAGTTGTATGAAATACAATTATACATTTAGATGTCCAGGCAGACTGCATGTTGTAGCCTTTTGTGTTGCTCTTCAGTTTTGTACTAGACAAGTAATGTTAGAACAAGATTTCAAAATTGTGTGTTTTGTCTTGCATGTTGCTTTAACCAAAACTAGTCGAATTTCCTGAGAAATCATGTGCCTTCAACCACTAGATACAGTAGACCCGGCATAATTTGCTAGACTTTAAAAGCAAATTGTTTTTTGAATGGTAGATAGATAGGTGTTAGGTTTGCCTTCAACCACTAGATACAGTAAATCTAGCTTTTCCATGATGCATCTCTGGAACTCTTAACAGTTTAGCACTTATGATCATGCAGCAGTGCTCAATCTGGCTATGGACAAGGTCGTCGGAATATTGAGGGGAGTAGCTGGTGTTGCTGCTGACGCCAATGCATTCCGTGAATTCTTCCACTGGGTCACACCACACGTCTTAGCTGCCGTACGTTCTCAACAGCAGCAGCAGCTGCTGCAACTGGATTCAGGAGGGCCAGTATCAGCATCAACTGGAAACAACAGAACAGCTCCACTGCATCAGATTCAGGATGATCTTCAGAAACTCGAGCACAACCTTTGGGTGATCCAAACAACTATTACATCCACGATGCATGATCTCATCGACCGCCTTGAGTGGCATAGCCACAGGGAAACAGAAGCCAGGCACCTTCGCCAGATCAAGGATGCAGTGTACGATGCCGAGGACCTCCTTGATGAGTACAATTACTATGCTCTTAAGGTGAAAGTGGAGGCGAGCAAGAACTTGGGGCAAGATCACTCACATGGACCCGTTTTAGAGTTCTTGGACAGTGTCAACTTCAATGGCAACTTCAGCAAAGTGATGGAAATCCAAGACAGACTGAAGCATGTTTTCGACCAATCCATGGGTTTAGGCTTGCACAAAACACCCAAGAAGTTTGATCGATTAGTCAGGCCAGAGACATGCCGTGTCCTTGATGAGTCACAGATATTTGGTCGTGAGCAAGAACTGAAGGAGTTGATGCAAATGCTAGGAGTAGATGGACACAAGAGAGGCAGGCCTGCAGCACACACTAACACTACTGAAGCAAGAAGGATGGAGTTGCCTGTGTTGCCAATAGTTGGCATGGGAGGTGTCGGCAAGACAACTATGGCCCAACAAATCTGTGAGGATCCAGAGGTGCGCAAACATTTTCATCACCGCATAATCTGGATATGTGTCTCAGATGAATTTGAGGTAAACAGGTTAACAAAAGATGCTCTGAAGTCTCTTGGAGTCAAGTCAGAAGATACCGATACAAGGGATAATCTTATGGTTAATTTACGTGATAGTGTCAAGTCAAAGAAGTTTTTGCTCGTCCTTGATGACATGTGGGATGATGTCTTAAAGGATGAGAAAGGATGGAGAACATTTCATAGAACTTTAAGCAATGGTCTTGATGGCAGTATGATTTTGGTCACCACTAGATCTTCCAAGGTTGCTAACTTAGTCAGCGACGGTAATCACTATGAGCTGAAAGGATTGCAAGATGGGGTTTTCTGGAATTTCTTCAAACTATGTGCATTTGGATCTGTCCAGAGTTGGAGCAACAGGCCAGAGTTGCAGCGCATTCGTCCAGAATTGGAGCGCATTGGTAGAGCTATACTTCCCAAGTTGAAGGGTTCACCTTTGGCTGCCAAAACTCTTGGACGATTGTTGAAATGCAACCGAAGCATAGAGCACTGGGAAGACATATTGAAAAGAGCTGTGGCGATTAGAACAAGAGGAGACTGACATTTTGCCGGCCCTTCGACTAAGCTATGCGTACCTGCCGCAGTACATGAAAGAATGCTTCTCAATCTGTGCTATATATCCAAAGGATCACATATTTCAAAAGGAATTTTTAGCAGACATTTGGGTAGCACAAGGGTATGTGGAGCCTCAAGATGCATCCTCTTGCTTTGATGACCTTGTAAACCGATCCTTCTTTCAGCAAGCAGCCCACCAATATGATAATCAGTATGTAATTCATGATTTGCTACATGATACAGCACAACTAGTCTCTAAGGATGAGCGCTTCATCATACAACATGTAAGTGACCTAGCTAAAATCCCTCCAAAGGTACGTCATCTATCAATATTCACTAATGGAAATATCAGATGTTCAGATTTACTGTATATTTGCGCACAAAATAAAAAATTGCGTTCCCTAGTATGCAATGATTCTTACATAAATTGGGAACCTTTTGCTCCCATGATTGACGGTTGGTTCAATGAACTTTTGAATATCCGTGTATTGAGTTTTGATCTTTCGACTGTCAGAAAGCTACCTGAGAGCATAGGCAACTCAATACATTTGCGCTACCTTGGTTTATTAGGAAATTCTACTTTTGAGACCCTTCCTTCATCTGTTAGCTGCCTGTATCATGTCCAGACTATAAATGCCAAGGGTTGTGTTTTCAAAAGATATCCTCAAGGTTTTAGTGATCTTATTTCCTTAAAGAAAATTGAATCAAAGGGCTTCATATATAATAAGGATAAAGATAAGCAATGCCTAAGGTGGCCCATAATGCGAACACCTGACAGGGGCGAAGCCAGAACAAGGCTGAGCCCCCCCTATGCTCCAAACCTGGCTCTGCCACTGACACCTGAAGAACAGTTACAGATGACAGAGGAGCAGATTGAATTGTTACCTCATTGGAACCTTCAGCATTTGACAATAGAGTATTACCTGGGTCAATCTTGCCCCAGTTGGCTCCGGCCAGACTGCCTGAAAATGCTGACTTCACTTAAACTTTCTTATTGCAAGAACATTCAGAGCATATCATTCTTTGACCCACTCTTTCCTGATTCGGAAGATTCAAAGAACATTTGTCACCTTGAGGTGTTGGATATCCAACATTGTCCTAACATCAATTGGCAAGGTTTGGTGGCTTTACCTTCTTCTCTTAGAAAGATTATCCTTGGAAACTTTGGCCATTCGACGGATCACTTTGTGAGTTGCTTTTGTGGCCTCGCTCTCCTGAAATGTCTGCAAATACAGTGTGAATTCTTAATGTCTATTCCCCTGCAAGTTTGTAAAAATAATCTTCAAGCCTTGGAGGATTTGCATATTTATCAGTGTAGCTCCCTCACATCCATCTATGTCTCAGAGGCAAGCAGCAGGCACCCTGTTGGAGTATTTTCATCCCTTTCAAGTGTCACCATTTCTCTTTGCAATGCACTGTTGAGTCTTGATGAGTTCCTGATGCCTGCTTATATGCCCGTCGTGAAGACCATTCTTGTGGAAAGTTGTCGACAATTAGCATTACTGCCGATTGATGAGCTTCATCGCTTTTCTTGCTTGGAGGTGCTACGTATTGAATCATGTCCCAATTTGAATACACGGAGGATAATGACATTACCATCCTCTCTTCGGAAGCTCAGTTTACTCGGTTGTCCAAGCATAGAGTTCATCGACAACAGCCATCTGGCGAGTTCTGTGACACTCAAGGGACTCAACCTGAAACTTGTTAGCTGTCCAGACCTCATCTCTATTGTTGGTGCTATATCTATCTCTGAAATACAGTCGGGTTATATACATGATTGCCCCAAGCTGATGGAGATGACACAGCCTTTCACAAGAGGTCGCTACTGGTACGTGCTAAGGAATCACACTTGATAGCTCTTTTTTTTTTCTGTTAAAACTGGTTATCTTCATCTATCATAGAGTAATCTCATTAACTTTTTGATAATTTTTTTTGTATGAAATATTTTTAAGCTCACAGCAAATTGTCATGCTAGAAGTGCTCTGCTTCCATATCATAAATTGTGTTGTACTTATTTATAACATCTAGAGTTCTAGACTCGACCAAATCTCATAATTGGTATTACAGTTAGTCGTATTTTCATCAACTGTGGCAAACAGACCGGTTTCCGCTGGCTGTCAAGTCCACAATAAGCCGATACTAGCTTTTTGGAGACTTCACTTTTACAATACTATGTCGTAGAATACTAATTTGTTTAGATTTAGTTATGCTCTAGGAAAAGAAAGCTGAAATGAAGTACGAGTTGTACTATTTATATTCATTGGATTTGATAGTTCATTGTTGTTAATGGTTTCAGATGATTTCAAGATAATGTCGAGTGTTCAAGATGATTTCAGATGCAAACAGCACAGAACATGCCAGCATAAGTTATGTTGGGGATCAGGGAGAATCATCTCGGCAAACTCTACATCATTCACTTATATCATAATGTTTGAAGTTTAGTAATAAACTTTGTTATTATATATAGGAGAGAGCCAAAAGAAAGTGCAGACTAATCAGACCATGGGTATTGGCTAGGAGATGAGAATCTCAAGAGCTGAATTTGTGGGTGTACAATTGTGTATTTTACTGGATGATACCCCATGCATTGGTGTGGAGATTTACGTGAAAGACTATTATATATAGAGGGACAAACTTTATAAAAATATAACGGTATCATGATGAATAACTTTGAATCACTCTATTAAATTTTGTAGGATGCAGTTTTATTTCAGCCCACGGTGGCTTTTGTTGTGTGTTGGTCTTAGTAGAATTGTATCAGGGAACTATAGCCTACGTACATAACCGAAGTATCTTAAAACTGCTGAGATGAAATCTGTATGCAATGGCTCATGTATTCTTGATAATGATATGGCGTGCTTTATCTAAAGGCTCCTTTATAGTGTTAATTGCAGTTAGTGGATCAGACAATTATATAGGAAGAAAGGATTACGGTGTTAGAAAAAAGAACTCTTTATCTCTGTTACTGAGCAATTGATGTGGAGCACTTAGAAGTTGGCAGTGTAGATTTTGATGTATTGCCTGTCAGAGCTCGTCAGTATGCAAATATTAGATTGAACTGAAATTTGCCAAAAGGGTTTATATTAAGCTGTAAGGTGAGAGACATCAGTAAAGATGGCCATCATTCATGGGCTGTGGATGATAACGAGGAGCATCTGGCTCCTTTTCTGCCGATGCGTTTGCTCTACTTGTTGTCAGTGCTCTATTGTCTTGAAATGGCGTCCGTTGAAACACTACCACATGACAACATCATTTAGAAATAGAGTAAATTTCAAAATAACTCAGGTTGTAAGGCATATGCATATGTAAAGAGACAATTGCTTATGGGACTAGAGAGAGTACATGACAACAATAAGCAAAACATACACCCTCCGTTCTAACATTTATCTAGATTCATCTGCATAAGTTATTTTTTATTAGACGAAGGGAGTGCATGACAACAACATTTACTCATTTAGAGGTTGTGTGGCCGAAAGATTTATCTATTTGTCACTATAAGAAACGGTCATTCTCCAAATGCTACTATTAAAATTATCATTACATTTTTTTACACTGGAGTGAGGAGAATGTTTTTTTTTTTTGCTACTTTCGCATATATGGGTGTGCCAACGGGGGAATAAGTACACTTTGACTCCCTCAAATATACAATCAATTTAATTTCTATCCCTCAATCACAATAGCAAATATCTTAAACCCTTACGGCCTTAACTATTAAAACTGGTGCAAAATAACTTTCTCGGTGGTTATAAAGTTGGTTTTCATTGGCATGACTCGTTGATCTAGTCCAATCGCTGAGTCGGCATGTATGGACCCACATGTCATCATCTCTCTCCTTCCCTTCTTCCTCCTCCCCCTCTCTCTCCCTTCTCTCCATGTTCCCATCCCTACTCCAACAGCGGCACTGCCGTGCTGTGGTGTCAACGACGAGGCCACCCCGTCATCGGTTTCACTTTCCCTGGTGCCGCTGCGCAAGGTCGCCCTAGTGACCGGCATCACAAGGTAGGACGGGAGCTACCTAATGGAGCTTCTGTTCCGGAAGGGCTACGAGGTGCGCGCGACGGCTCTACCACATCTAACATGACCCACACACACAATCATCGATGCCACGCTAGTAGATGCACCTCCACTACGCCGACATCTCTAACTCCTCGTCGCTCCGTTGCGTGCTTGATCACATCCTCCTCGACGAGGTCTACAACCTCACCGCGCAGTGCCATGTCGCGTTGTCCTTCGAGGTGCCCGACTACACCGCCGACGTCACAGCCACGAGCGCGCTCTGCCTCCTCGAGGCCGTCCACCTCGCCCACAAGCCCATTCGCTACTACCAGGCGGTCCCCTCCGAGATGTTCGGCTCCACGCCACCACTACAAAGTGAGTCCTCCCCCTTCCACCCATGGTCCCCTACACCGTCGCCAATTCGCCGCCCTCTAGTACGCCATCAACTACCACGAGGCTTACAGCATGTTTGCCTGGCAGCAGCGTACTCTTCAACCATGAGTCCTCACGCCATGGCGAGAACTTCAGACTAACATTACCGGCGCCGTCGGCCGCATCAAGGTTGGACTCACCAAGGTCTTCCTCAGCAATCTCTCTGTCACCAGGGACTTGGGCTTCTTCGGGGACTAAGTCAAAGCAATGTGGCATATGTTGTAGCAGGACCAGCACAGCGACTACGTCGTAGCCACCAAGGAGTCCCACACCGTCAAGGAATTCCTCTTGGCCATCTTCCCCAGTAGCAGCTCCGTCAGGTGGCTCCTGTCATGCCTCGTGATGCTGGTCACCAAGGCGACCTTCCACGATGGCACCAGGGAATGCAGCATCAATGGCTGGGGTGGCCTCATTGTTGTCAGCACCACCGTTGTCCACTGTTAGAGTGGGGTGGGGACAGGGAGATATAAGGGAGAGAGGGGAGTAGAAAGAATGGAAAAAGAGAGAAAGGATGACATGTGGGCCCACACATGCTGACAACGAATGGATTAGGTCAACAAGCCACATCAACATAAACCTCACTCAAAACCACCGAGGAAGTCATTTGCACCGGTTTTAATGGTCGAGGGTTTAAGATATCTGGTATTGCGATTGAGGGATAGGAATTATAGAATCCAGATCCTCTGACGTAGCGCTTGGACACCGCATCGAACGAAAGCGCGGAGTGTGGCAGCCAAACTGGCTCGCGCTCGGCCCAAATCAGCAAAATAGCAAAATCGGCATCGGTCATTCGCTCCCAATTCCTCAAGGCCGTCAGCCGGTGACCGCTCCTCGTCGTCTCCTCCGGCCCAAGCGCTGGTGGAGCGGATCCTGCAGGAAGCACCTCCCCTCGTTGTCAGCCACCTCCCCGTCAATCGCCTCCTCGCGCCTCTTGAGAGCCCTGCTTCATCCGGGGGATCTGCCTCGTCTGGGTCTACCTCGACGACGATGGCTTCCACGGCGGAGCACTTCACCACCACCCACATCAGAGCAGTGAGACCAGTGACAGGGGTCGCGCTGCCACGATACCACATCCGTTGCTGCCATGACCGCAGCACTGCCGCCACAACGATGACCACCATCACCACGGGCTTTTGGAGGAAGGCAACAGTTGCTTGAGAAGCCTAGTTGCGATTGTAAATTGATGTGAATGCGGCAATTGGATGTCTTCTTTACTGATTCCAGACTGATTAATTTGTCCAATTGAGAATGTTCTATTATGCAATTTGAGATCAGTACATACAAACTTGGCATATATGCATAGAGACTTGCATACTACTTGCTTTTGCTTGCAAAATGGCAAAAGATAGCTGTTTGTACTCCACCCGCACCTGAGCCAGACTGGACGGGACAACGAGCGACCGCCGGCCGATGGCCACGAGGAATTAGGAGAGATCCAAGATTTTGCTGGCAAATTAAGGAAACGAGCTCTTTCTTCTAACGGACCGTGCTATTTCGCTGATTTGGGCCGAGCACAAGCCAGTTTTGCTGGCTCACTCCGTGCGTTCGTCCAATGCGGAATGGACGACGTAGACGTCCATCTGACGTCACGAGTGATCTGGATCCAAATTATACTGGATGTATATTTGAGGGACTCAAAATGGACTTATTCTGCCAACATGTACTGTCAACACAAAAGGTCCATTTTGCCTCTTGTAGGTAGGGATGAAAACGGTACGGAAACGGACGGAAACCATCTTTATCGTTTTCGTTTTCATATTTTTTTCGGAATCGAAAAGCCCGGATACGAAAATGGAATCGAATATTATCGAAACCGAAAACGGAGCGAAAACGAAGTGGCACAAATACGGTAACGAAAATTTATCGGAATACAGAAACCCCTCAAACTGATAAATCCAATTCTCAAGTCTCAACGGTCAACAATTCATCGTAAAACACAATCATATAAATCCAATTGTTAAGTCTAAACAATATATCACAAAACACAATCTATGAAATAAATTATCTATGTTTAAGAGAGTAATGTTGTTGATAAATCCCAACGCAGAAAAAAAATATTCTTATGTAACTTCATATTTACATAACAAATATTTTTTTAAAAAAAATAAAAGCCAAACACCATCGTATTCAGTACTTAAAAAAAGAATTCAAAGTATTTCAGTCACAAAATTTCCGGAAATTCCGAGAAAATTTCTAGAAAGTTTCTAACTGATTCCGGAAACTACCCTTATCATTTTCGATTCCGTTTCCGAGAAAATATTTCCGAATTTGTTCTATTTCCGAAAAATTCCGACCGATAAATTCCATTTTCGAAAATAGGTCCAAAATACGGAAAGTTTCCGTACCGTTTTCGCCACTACTCGTGGCATGTTAGAGAACAAGCTCCATCTCCACTTTTCCCCTCTAGTACTGATGTTGTTGCTGACCTGATGGCTATTTTTTTTCTTCTATTTTATCTCTCCCATGGGAGCGGCGGAGCTTCTCGATCCGACGGCGACAGTCATGGGGAGCAGCAGGCTTCACGGCCATGGCTACCTCGGTTGGGGTGGCTGGCTGGCTCCCTGCCTCGATCCCTGGCCGCCGGGCACTGCTCCTCCTCCTCGGCTCCCCACCACGAACAGGACTGAGGTGTGGTTGCTAGCTAATGCTGCTTGAACTACTTTGGTTTTTTGTTTTTGTTGTCCCCCTTGTTCCAACCGAAGAAATTTGCGTTTTATTGGTGTTCGGTTGCTCCAGTGTACAAATCCAACCAAATATCATTCTTTGCCTCTCTCGATTTGTTTCCAGGCACACTGGAGATGGACTACGAACATCAGACTGTATAGATGACGTGAGAGAGTCAATAATCTAGACAGACTGAGTATTCAAATTCGTAGTACTAGAATATATCATATCTCTTTTAAATCCTTTATATGGTCATGTTATTTTCTCCAATAAGAGTTATATGAAGATTAAGATTTTTGTGGCACGTATTTCAAACTGTTAAACGGTGCGTAAAAACTTTCTATATGAAAATTACTCTAAAATATGATATTAATCTATTTTTCAAATTTTTAGTAATTAAAACTCAATCAATTGTACGCTAATACCACGTTGTTTTGCGTAAAAAACTTAACTTTCATAGGAAAAAGACACCATCTATATATGGAACAGAGGGAGTATCACATTCCGTATTAAATTTTTTTTTTATGCGATGGAGGGAGTTACTGATTAACCATGTGTCGCATTCTGCCACTGACGTTAGTGATGTGTCGGCGGCGGCGCAGTCACCGCGCTCATGAACTCCTCGTCGGCGACCAGCCTCGCGAGCGCCTCCGGTGCCAGGCAAATCTCCACCGCCATGCCGCCGCCGCCGCCTCGCCTCTCGTACACCGTAATCTTCCCGTCCATCTTATTCCCGGCGCCGCTCCGGACGCCC